TATAATTATTATATAAAAGATCGATATCAGGATATTAATAGATATCCTTTATTCATCTTATATTTTTCTTTTATGTTGTACTAGTATTCATCCTTTATTTTACTATAGATCTGCCAAATAACTGTAGCAAATCAGATTAAAAGTGGATAAATAAAGAATAAATATCAGAATAATAAAGGGATCCCGGTATGTATCCTTTATGTATTTATTGAACCTGTGATTTGTTATATATCTAATAGTTTATATTTTAAAATCTGATAACCTTAATACAAAGTCTGTTAACTGTTGATATTATTATAAAAATTAATAAAGAACTACAAATTATTGTTTTAAATGTATATAAGTTTTGAGAGGTTTACAGTATATTATGCAAAACTGCATAATACATCTGCAACATAATGTTGCATTATATGATGCAAAGTCAAAAAAACTTGTATTCGCATATCTCTAATCCAGAGTATTTTCTAAAATATTAAAAAAAATAAATAAATAATATATAACAAAATTTACATCTTTGTTTGCCAACACTAATATTAGAAAAAGGTTGCTTTATACTATTAGCTTTTATGCTGCTTTGATTAAACAGAATATAGTAAGGGAACTAGCAACAATATTTATTTCAAATTAAATTTAGTACTTTTGTGATAGTTGCACTATTTTTTAGCACAAATAAAAAATAAAACCCACTTTCTTAACATCAATGATTGTTATTAATATATAATATAAAAAGATTCTAGTTATACTTATTTATCTTATATATTAAGTTTATTAATATAAGCCAGCTATATTATTAAAGTTTTTCTATTTGTCTAAAATATGCAAACACTATATCTTCTGTATATTTTACTTGTCTGCTTATAGATTTTTAAACAATATAATAATATTCAATATAATATTTCCAACTTCTTAAATATTTTTTTTTTTGGTATTAAGGTGACCTCTGCAGCCAGGTGACTTTTTATTAAATGCAACATATGTTTATATAATTATAACAAGAGTACATCAAGCTACACATGCACTTTTAGTACCTAATTTAAGTAGTCTGCTCAAAGGTTCTACACTATCTGCCGTACCTATACCCTGACTATAGAGGTACCTATTTAAACTCTCTGGTTATAACTACCATTTGTTACACCTAACCCTAGATATTATTCACCATATATACATAGTTTTTACATCTACCCAATTGGATTTCACACCCACCGTTAGAACTTACTAACTATTATGGCTAATCTATCCACAAGATAAACCTAACAGAATGGTCCATGTCCTACACATATATTTACCTGCATGTTTGGTAACTTCTTCCTAACTAATACCTGTTGTGCTGCTACACTGTGTTTGTATCTCATGCCATCTTTTAGGATGCTGCCATTTCACAGCTACTCAAGCCACAACTTTTCTAATTAGTTGCCACTTCTTAAATATTATAAAGTCTCAGTTATATCTATTTCAAGCTTTTTATTACCTACTAAATAGATATTTATTAGTCTTTAAATTCTATATTTTATGTTTGTAATCTTTTTTTATATTAAATATTTGACAATATTGTCTAGACTTAACTTATTTTTTGTATATTCTTTGATTGTCTATAATTGTAGCAAAAGTATAATTTTTAATAGCTTTATTTGTAACCAAAGTCTGAATGATATTTGAATGTTTAAGTATATCATTCTTATCAAGTATATGTATATAATCTGGTAAATTTTTAAACTGTTTAACTTAAATTATTCTAGAAAAAAAAAGATCATGTTACTTTAATTTTTGCTTAGCGAAACTAGCTAGTTAGATATGAATTTTTTTTGTTTATTATCTGGAACATCTTCTTTTTGAGTACTTGATTCTCAATGTTTCATAAAACAACAAACATAAATTTTCTATAAATCACTATTTTGAAGTTTATTTGAGCTAAATTGTATCTATATAATTATGATCAAAGGTTACAGATTATCATTAAATTCTTTGTTTAATACTTCAAAGAACTTTGTATATTAAAAAAAGAGAATATATTTCAATTATATGGGAGTCTAAATTGTTTGATGAATCAATATTCTCTTTCTTTATAACTCTAGTCTATTGGAATTTTTTTTTTTTTTAAAAAAAAAAAATATATTCAAAAACTTTTGTAAAAAAAATATATAAAAGCTAGAAAAATCTCTTCTTTACTCATTTAAAAAAAAACTTTCTTGTTTGTCGTTCTTTTTTAAAAAAAATAAACCTTTACTTGTTCGCTTTTACAAAAATAAAACCCGTTACAAAAAGAAAAAAATCACAATCTATGATCTGTGATTAAACCTACTCCATTTATGATTGGTCATGCTTGTGCACGTGATCGATACTCGATAATCATTCACGTGATAGACCGTCATATCACTTAATATGTAGATCATCAAAACTCGCTCCGCTTTAGCCGACCTCCAAAAGAGTATACTGGGCAAAAGTTTTGAAGATCTCTAACCGGGAACCATTTAAAATAAAACTCGAATTTGCCATTTATAAAAAGCTTGTAACACTTTTACAAAGTACAAGCACGAATCAAAAAGGAAAAATATACGTAAAAGGTGCTAATTTAGTAAAGCCCGCGTTTCACAAATTTGAGGTCGACGTTAAGTAAAATATCCTGCAGACCACTGCCGAAAACAAAATTGTGACACGCAAGCTATTTTTCGTTCTAAAACAAAAGATTTCGTTTAAAGAAATATGGAAAATCATCACAGTATTCACTACCCGAACTCATCAAAAGTAAGTATATCAATTATTTTGTTAGTATTTCATCATTTAGATGTCAAATGATTTTAATTTTTACTTTTCGAAGTCTTTGGATTATGATAACTTTGAACAAACTGACAAGGAATATTTCCATGATTTTGATGAGTCGGGCTTTGATATTAATAATTATTCAAACAACATTGATCATGCGAAAGAGTTGAATAGTAATCCAGAAAATGATGAAATCAGTGAACTTATTCGAAATGATAAAAGATTTAAGTGGATTCCTTATGAGAAATTAACAAATATTGAATATCTTGCTCATGGAGGCTTTAGTGTAATATCAAAAGCTAAATGGAAATCTCAAGATGTTATTTTAAAATGCTTAAATAATTCTAAAGATCTAACATCTGATATTTTACAAGAGATCACCTATTATCAATTATTTGAGCACAGAAAGTTTGTTATTTACGTTGCTCAATGTTGCGGAATTTCTCAGGATCCCACAACAAGAAACTATTTAATGATAATGAATTATTTTAAAGGTGGTAGCTTAAGACAATATTTAAATAACAATTATGATAAATTATCGTTGAAAGATAAGCTTGGATTGTTATATACAATGACAAATGGGCTAACTTATATTCATATTCATGGACTAATTCATAAAGATTTTCATCCAGGTAATTTATTAATTAAATATAGTAGAAATCTGGGAGGTATTGCTTGTTATATTGCTGATTTGGGATTATGTAAGCCAGTGGATGAAGCTAATGAAAATAAAAAAATTTATGGGGTATTACCTTTTGTTGCTCCTGAAGTCTTAAGAGGAAAGGCATATACAAAAGCTTCTGACATTTATTCTTTAGGAATAGTTGCGTATGAATTACTTTCTGGACGACCTCCGTACTTCGATCTTCCTCATGACAATTCCTTGACTATAGATATATGCAATGGACTTCGACCTAATTTAGATATTGTTAATATACCTCAACTATTAAAATCATTACTTATCAAGTGTTGGGATGGTAACCCCTTACTCCGCCCAAAAGCTGATGAGTTGCAAGATTATTTTAAAATGTGGTATAATGATTCGGATCCAGTATTTCAGCAGCAATATCAACAAATAAAAGCTACAGAAGAATCATCAACATATAATAACTTAACTTACCAAACACATCCGCAAGCCATTTATACCAGTCGACTGCTTGATATAGATTCGAAAGAAGCTTATTTATACATTCCCGAAAAACTTAGTGAACATGACATTAATAGTAGCGAATAGGGCAGTTAATATGTTAGAGTCTAAATAAAATGTCTTATATTTATGCAAACGAGGCAATGATGAGGATCCATACGTATTGTAGAGTCTCAAGTTTTCAATTTTAATTTCTCAAAACATTTCCTTAAATGTTGTTGGCTATAAATTCGATGTTTCGTACAAATAATATTTTTAAATTTCCTTTATTGTTTGAAAATTTGCAAGACACCCTAACAACATATTGCATCTTAGAATTTTCTAAATACTATCATTTTATTCTTTCGCAATGTTCTATTGAGTTCGTAAAACTACATTCTTTAAAAAATTGATGTATATGGTTTAGCCGATCTTTGAATCTATTTTAAAATCATATAAGCAGGTTTATGCGGTCAACGAAATGGATGTCCAGTTTTAGTAAAATGGTTTGATGGATCCAAAGATGCTATATGTGTTCCTACTCACAAAACTGAAAAGATCTGTTAAATAAAGACATTGATCCAATACAAAAATTTTGATTTTTTTTTGATTTTCCACCTACACCAAGTTTTAGTAATGATTCAAAATCTTTTCAGTAAATACTGCATTATTGAATATCCATGAAGCTAACCCCTGAAAACATTTCATTTCTTCTGTCGTAAAGAATGTGATATTTAA